GTTTTAGTGTGTTTACGTATTTTTATTTTTACTTTTATTTTATTTTATTTTTTTTTTTTATTTTTGTTTGTTTATTTTGTGTTTGTTTTTGTTTTGTTTATCGTTTTTATTTTGTTTTAGTGTACTTAGGTATTTTTATTTTTTCTTTTTATTTTTAATTCTTTATTTATCTTTATTTTATTTTTGTTTTTATTTCCGTTTTTTATATATATTTTTTTAGTTTGTTTTAGTGTTTACTTTCTTATTTTTTTATTTTTTTATTTTTTTGATACATTATCTATTTATTTATTTTTATATTTATTTATTTTTATTTTATTTTTTATTTCTTTATTTTTATTTTGTTCACTTATTTTTACTTATTTATTTTTATTTATTTTTTACTTATTTCTATTTTATTTATTTATTTATTTTCATCTATTTTTTATTTTTTTTTTTATTTTTTTATTTTTATTTTTATTTTTATTTTTATTTTTTTTGTTTTTCAGTGGCTGCTCGTCTGGTTGCTGTTTCTTGTCTCGTCGATAAGAAGGCCCTAAAAAGTAAAATTATTTTTTTATTTTAATTTATATATTTTATTTTATTTATTTATTTTATTTTTATTTATTTATTTTATTTAATTTTATTTAATGTTATTTTATTTATTTTATTTTATTTATTTTATTTATGTTATTTATGTTATTTATTTTATTTATTTTATTTATTTTAGTTAATTTAATTTACTCGCTTATTTTGTTTTATTTTATTTTTATTTTATTTTTTTATTTTTTTATTTTTTTTTTTCATTTAAATATTGACTTAGCATAATCTGAGTTAATTAAATTTTGTTTTTTATTTTATTTTATTTTTTGTGTATTTGTTTTATTTTTTATTTTAATTTATTTTAATTTATTTTACTTACTTTATTTATTTTGTATATTTTGTATTCATCTTATCCATGTTATTTTATTTTGTTTTTTATTTTTATTTTATTTTATATATATTTTTTTGATTTTATATTAATTTTATTTATTCTATATTTATTTTATGTTACTTTACTTTTATTTTGTTTGTATTTTATTTTTATTCTATTTTATTTTATTTATTTTATTTATTAATTTTATTTTTTTTTTATTTTTTTATTTTTTTTGTTTGCAGCGATCGCCAAATATCTGCGGCTAACCATCGACAGCAAGTTCACCCCAAAAAAATTAATTTTTTATTTTTTATTTTTTTTTTGTTTTTTTGTTTTTTATATTTTAATTATATTATATATATATATATATATATATATATATATGTATATGTATATATATATTATGTATATTATATAGGATATATAATATATAATAAACATAATAAAAAGATAAATATAATAAATATAATAAAAATAATAGAATTAATAAATAAAATAAATAAAATGAACCTAATTAAAAAACAAACAAAATAAAAATAAAAAAAATAAATAAAATAAATTTATTTTTGTATACAGACATTGGTAAACCTGACGCAGACAAAGCAGAAATGGAAAGAAATATAAAAAGACTTTTTGCTTATGAAGCAGGTAACACCAACACGAGGGTTTAGGGTTTA